GGGGACGAGGGCATCGGATGGGGGAAGAGCAGAGTTGTGAAGACCCAGGCTTTGGAAAAGATCCCAAAAGGCTTCAAGTGACCAGCTGGACCCCTGGGGCCTCGTGGTGGCCAGGGGAGAGGCTCCGGTGCGCACAGGGCAGGCTGAGGCGCTACAGGAGGCTGCTGTGGGCTCACAGGCAGCCCCTGGCCCTGGGACATGCTACTCCAGGAAGTGCCAGTACTCTGTCCCACAAGTAGGCTACACGGGTCCAGGGACCAGGGATGGGAGCAGGCATGCCTCCCCACCCACCCAGTGACCCACCAGAGCCCAGGCTCCTTGTCCTGTTCTGCAGCTCCAGGGTCAGTGGGTTTGGACGTCCTAGGCCCCAAGGAAGACTGCTTCTGCCGGGGAACACAGCAACGGTCCCACTGAGCTGAAGGCCACCGCCTCTACCAGGGCACTCTGGCTCCTTGAGTCCAGGACCAAGAGGCCAGAGGAGGGACCTGCCCAGCAGGGGAGCTGACCTGACCACAGGAGGAGGGGGGTCGTGTGATGGGTCGGGGCAGGGGCTGTGCCAGGGGGGCCCACGCAGACCCTTCCCTGCCTGGTTCTGACAGCAAATGGATAGGTGCAGCCACCCTGGCCTGAGAGGCAGCCTCAGGGATGAGGGGCTGCTCCCACCAGGGTGAGCACACGTGTCAAGGTGCGGGGGAGTGAGGGGAGTGACGGTGGGGATCACAGAGAAGCCCACAAGTGCCCGGTGCGCCCGAGACCCATGGCGGTGGTGGCAGGGGCTGGGGCCCATCCTGCTCCCTTTCTCCTGCGTTTCCCAGGGAGAGAGTCGGGGGAGGGGGTGCCCGGGAGCAGGGTTCCAGGACACAGCGTGACTGTGGTGGATGCAGGGCTGCCCTGACCTCCTCCCAGGAGTGGGTGACATGGCACCACAGGCCAGCGTGTCCCTCTGCCATCTGCCTCCTCTCCTCCCTTCTGCAGGCACTACCCCTGCCAAGACCGTGTCAGGCTCTGCTTCTGGAAACGGGCCTGGACGTGTGCTGAGCTGCCCGCCTTCCCCCGGAGACCGGTGCTTCCTTTGTAAAGCTACCTTTGTGCCAGAGTTGCTTTCAGAGGGTTTGGGAGCCAGAGGGAGCCTCGCCTTGGTCTCGGCAGGACCACCAGGTAACAGTGCTGCCACCAGGGTGGCTGCAGCAGTGAGCCAGTCACCTGACGTCTGGCAGGAAACCAAGGTGTGAGGGAAGAGAGGCCCTTCACTACCCAGCAAGGTGGGCAATGGATTCTGGCCCACAGGGGCTGCAGGAGCAGACGAGTGGGCACAGCTGTGGGTGGCCATTGGCTGGACACGGGTGGCCCTTGGCTGGACATGGGCAGCCTGCCCAGAGCCCAGAGGTGCCGTGCTGTGCTGGGGAGCAGCTGTGCCTGGACAGGAAAACCAGAGCAGTTGGCATAAGCTCAGTGAGCAGGAGGCTCAGGCCCTACACAAAAGGGACTCATGGGAGGGAGGGGCTGGGTGCGGGAGGGCCTGGGGGCAGGGGGCAGGGGGCAGGGGCTAGGAGAGGCCCGTGCCCGGGAGCGAGCCGGATGCAGCTGGGCCACCGCCGGATTGGTCAGCGGTGACCTTGGACCAGGTACGAGCCTGCCTGGTCCTGGACCAGGCAGGACACGGGAACTGTTCTGGGAGCAGGTGCCTTGAGTCTGAAGTGGGGACCCTGGAGAAGCAGCTGGACACAGGGGTCTAGAGCTTCGGAGAGACAGACCAGGACATGTGAGGGGCGTCTGCGACCTGGGGCGGGGGAGGGAACCCAGGCAAGCCCAATCTCATAGAAGCCAAAACATAGGTGTCCCAGGCAGGTGGCCACTAGCAGAAGTAGCACTGCTGTGTGGCCAAAGGGGCTGGTGGCCTCCTGGCTTGGGGAGGGAGGGAGGCGGAACAGATTTCCCAGGACCATGAAGGAAATTTGAAAAGGAAGGCAGGTCCCTCCTGTGGCTTCCTGGGAGTGGCCCCACCTAAGGTGGACCCCGGTGACAAAGGGTGGGACGGCAATTCCTGAGGAGGGTGGATCTGCATCCCTTGGGAGGGGGTGCCACCTGCCCTGAAGGGCAGGCCCCCAACTCCATCTGGGCTGGGAGCCGGGCGGGGGTTGTCTGGTTGTCCACCTGAGCCAGATAAGAACAGAACCAGACGGCCAGGCTGCCTCAGGCCCACACAGGGAGGCAGTGACCATGGCCCTGGCTCCACCTCGGGCAGCATCGGAAAGATTCCACCCGCCTGCTCTGCATGCTGATGGGCAAAGGTCGGTAACCTGAGAGAAACTTGGGGTGATGGGCAGGTAAGAGAGAAAGCCGACCCACGAAGGGTGGGGCCTGGCGGGCAGAGCCCCTCCCACCTCCACCTCCCAAGGGTCTGCAGATGGTCCCTGTGCCCCACCCCCCTCAGCGGGTAACTCCCTCGGCGGGTGAGCGCCGGCCTCCGTCGCCCGCCGCGAGGCGGCCAGGAGCGGACCCGCTTTCTCCATTTGTCAGCCTAATTGCCTTGCGCCCCAGGTGCTCTGGCTCGCTCCAGCTGCAAATGTCCCCTCCTCCTTCCCGCTCTGCAGGGCAGGGGGCAGGCAGGGAGAAATCGGACCTGCAGGGCCCCACCCAGGACGGCGCACCAGTCCTGCCAGGAAACCGCTGGGCAAGCGAGACCCCACCTCCGTGAGCCACCTCGCCCACGCCCATGCGGGGAGCCACTTTTC